TATAACAACACAAAAAATACAAGTCTTTGTTACTGTGTTCATAAAGCATTTCAGAAACTAGCAATGTTGTAATTCAGCCCTTATTTTTGTTACCCTGATACCCAACAGCAGTAAAAAGGAGCATCTGAGTAAAGTTGAAATGCCAGAATATCTACAAAAATCCTAAAGACATATAATCTGAAAGTGGTTTTAGGCAACCTAAAGTCAGTGATCTCTTACACTGTAAAAAAGAGGTTTCTGATAACCTACTTAGCACGATGAAAAGTTATCTTTTCAACCCTCGAATAACCAAACCTTTAGAAGGATATGTTCTCAGGGGACTTTTTTCAAAAACAGAGGGAGATGTGGTGTTTGGCATGTACTAAGAGTCCTTTTTTTTTTTTTTTTTTAAAAAAAAAAAAAAAAAAGATGAATGTTTTTGCATCCTTACCTTTTCACTGAAACACTCAAGCAAGTCTTGGACATACCCTCGCATTTCTTGCAAAAACTTATACTGTTCACCAATACCCCCAGAAGACCCTTCTAATCTTTCAATTGCCTTGGTAGAGTCCTCTCGGCTTTGCTGATGTTTCTCATATTGCTGTCGATTAGCTTTGTGCAATTCTTTCATAGAGTCCAACCTGAAGGGCAACGGATAAATAGCAAATTTACATCCAAAAGTCTGTATATTTCAGACTGTTGAGATATTAAAAAGACAGTGCAAGTACCACGTCTATGTATGGGAAATACTGCAAAGACATATTCTCTAACTTTCATCTGTCGCTTCCTTCCCTCTCTATATAAACAGCAAGACTAATGGTTTAAATTAATTTGCTAGACTATGCTCAGTGCGTTGCACTGCCCACTCCTACAAATTTTACATGGGTTGATAGCACTTAGAATAGTGCAAGGCTGGCCCTAGAGTAAAACTGGGAGGAAAGCTTGGGGGGCAGGGGGAGAACTATAGCTTATACAAAGCAGTCTTATTCGTCTACTAACTTGATTCACTGTCAAAGGTTGTAACACTACAAGGGGCATACAAACCACTTTTGAAGGCATGTAAAGTGCAAGTTCTTCATTACAAATGATTTCTCACTGCAATTGAGTTGTTCATTCAGTAGGAGCTTTTGTGTACCTGACAAGCAGATTACAGTGTTTAAACCAAAAAACACTGTATATACTAAAATTTAAATTCTTTATCTACTGAAGGGGAAAAATTGGATTCATAGTTTAAAAGAATGCAAGTTGACAAGCTAAACACCTCACTGGCCTTTCAATTCTTGACTATAAGACTGCGCAGCGTCCAGAAGATGCAACTCAGACCTGTCTTCAACAAGACCAATGGCCTCATATTTAAAGCTTCACTTCCAGAGAAGCAATCCAAGGAGATTTTCGAACAAAGTTTCAATGTCATCTTCACTTTGAGCTTTTTTTTGTTTGCCTTTTTTTTTTTTTAAATGGATGTGCCAGTCAATACTTTTCCAGCGATGAAACTCTGCGTTTGCTCACCAAGACTAAAAGACGCCTGAGGAACAGAAAGCTAGGGGACAGGTCTTTAAGTCTAAAAAGATGGTCTGTCCTACCTGTCTTTAAGCTGTTTCTTTACCAAATCAATAGTAACAGGAGTCATCTCATTACTGGGAGTTTTGAAAGGAACTGTATTATCTGTTTTTTGAGACTTGGTTTCCGATGATCCATACGCAGCATAGGTGTATGGAATGCCATATGATGAACCGTAAGACAGTGTCTGGTAAGTGTTCTGGTAGTACAGATTATTCACTTCAGCAGGCTGACTTGGTTGAACCTAATGGAAGAGGAAATGCAATTGTACTATATTAGACTTTAAAGAAAGGAAAAACTTTATTTCTTTCACATCTCAAATATTATAAAGTGAAAAATGTAGGCAGGTACATTTACAAAATGTAATTATCAAGTGGATTTAAGTCTAGAATTACTAACAACTAAGGTGAAAGACACAAATTCCCTCAGAAGCACCTTCTTAAATGGACAAACTCTTAGTATCATTATCATTCTAAACATTTATACTTACAACAAGTTATTAAATGACAATTTTAACCAGCCTGTAACTGCTACAATAACAGAGTGTTTGGGACTATACTAAATTTTGCTAAGACTACTTAATAGAATGACACAGATTCTTAGAGTCAGTGTGTTTGGTTGTGATTTTGCTGAAATGTTTTTAAAAAAAAAAAACACAACACACTATCCTCTTCAACTGAGTGGCAACTTCACTATGAATTCTCAGACAACATACAGTACAACCTGCTACAAATTCCAACTCTATGCTGCAACACAAGATACAGAAAAAACAAACACACACACACCGTTTACATAGACTCTGTAAACCCAATGATAAACAAGAAAAGAGGTCTCTTCAAACTGGCATTATTCTAGCCCTGGTTTAGGCTGCAAATAAATGCTGGTTAATAGCACCACAATCAACCAGTATCTACCCAGAATTGAGAGACTAATAAAACAGACACCACCGGATACTTAAAATCTGACCTCTCATTTATCTTTAAAGAATATCAGAAGTTACACATTGAAATTCTCAGACGAGACAGTCTTCTGTAAAATACTCAAGTTTGTAATGGATTTAGCCAGTATATGCAGAAACAAACCAAAAAGAGCTCACAACTAAATACATGCCTGAGGTATGTTGATTCCTTTCCGTATCTGTTCTTGCTCCCATCTACTGAGTTCTTCATCTTGTTCCCCTGCCACCAGTGCTTCATCATCACTTCCCTCAATACCTTAATACAAGTAAAACAGGTAACAAAAAGGAGAAGCTACTGTATTCATAGTAAGGGCCATGAGTTCATAAAACCTGAGAGACCATGCTTCAGTGGGAACACCTCAGTGCATCCTCCTCTCCTCTTCACAAGGAATTAAGGATGCTAGCCTACGAATTATTATCTCAGAGGTTCCACTTAAAAAATCCAATGGGTAAATTTGCAATTAACTGCTGGTAAAACCCTCTAATGTTAAAATTCTATATCTCTTACTAATTCTTCTTTTCCAAAAGGTTACCTTACCTGCTTGTCAGCAAGAAGAATGCTATACCAAAGAACTAATGTTTTTCTTTTCACAACTATACACTTCCTAAAAAACAAAGTACAGGAATACTACTAATTAATCCTTAGTGTACGTTTCTACCAGATTCAGTAGAGTTGTGTGCTTCTAAGCACAGGAACATAGTTTGTGCTCAAAATTTTACATGCAGATTCCATTATGCAATACTTTTCCTTAGAAATGGAATACATCTCCAGATTCATGCCTGTCTGAAAAACATGTCGCTTAAAAATGCTGAATGGGAGCACTTGCAGTGAAAACAGTGTGAATGTTTATCAGCTGTCCTTCTAAAAAGGTTTTACCTATTTCCTCAGCAATCTTTTGCCTTTGGGATTTTTCCTTCACTGTAAAAACTATCCTCCTCTTCTCGTCATCATCTTCATCATCACTGGCATCATTTTCATCTTCTCGAACAAGGCGGCCTTTACCTGGTTCACTGTCAACGGGAGTAAAGTCTCCAAGTTCACGAGCCATTTGACGCTTTTTCCTAGCGGCGTGAATAAAAGCAGCATCTGGAATTTCTCCTAGAGATAGATGTTTGCACCGTTAAACAACCACTGCAACAAAACTGGTATTACGACTTTTTATTACTCATCTCCGCCACCCTAACCAAATCATCTTTGCAAACAAAAAAAAATGTGAGAGGAAAAGAAATCTATACTCACAGAAACAGTTGCAAGCAACTTATAAACTGCACATGCAAACTTTCTGACCAGAAACCCTCAAAGCTAGGATCTTCCCAAAAAGTCTGGCTCTGCTTCCAGCAGCTCACATGCCATAAGAGCAGGAGCCTCATGTTCCTGTGGGAAATATTCCTAAAGAAGAGGAAGCCCGTTTACAGGACCTGACTATTGCAAAGGGAGGAAAAAAATTAGGTTCCTGACTGTGTCACTTCCTGCCCTGATACTCCTCCCAACTCTTCTTATTTTAGGGGAACAAAAAACATTTCAACAGATGACAGCTCAGAGATTAACAGAACACCAAACCAGACAAAGCTAATATGAGAAGACTGTACAATCAAGGGGAAACAAGAAAAGTAGACGTAATTAAAAATCTAAAATCCCCAAATCAATGCAAATTACATAAGTCATATAAAGAATGGTCCCCCAAAACGAATTTTTCAGATATGAATAATTTTTAACACTACTTTGATTAGGCATGCACAAAAGGTTAAATTTCAGATTCTCTTTATGCTTGACATGAGATACTTTATTCGAGCGAGCAATATCTTTAGAGATATAATAACGTACATATCGTACCATTTTGCGATCACCCCTAAAAGGAAAATTATTTCAGAGTCAACTAGGAAATTCTTTTTCCCTTGAAACACGGTGAAATCTGTGGACCCAGGACATCCATCTTCTATTTGGGGAGCAGGCTACCATGAGTTAGCTAACAATTAGTGAACTAGTTTCAAAAATACTTCCTCAGACTGATTTCTTTGGCCTCGGAGCCTGACTAGAACCTCATTAGACAAAATGAGATAGGAAAACATTTGAGATACCTTGCAGACCTCTAGCTGAGACATCTGAATTAAAGACAGAATTTTAATTGAAAGCAGTTAAAATTTATGTTAAGTCACCTATTCCAAATCTAGATTTTCTTACAGTTTGTCATCACTTTGAGAGACAAATTCCTGCCTTCGACATCAAGATGAAACATTCTGTAGTAAAAAATTTTCTCTCATAAGGCTTGTAAAATTGAGCGGCTTTGGAAAACAGTAGTTTCCTGAATTCTCAGATGCTGGATACATTGCTGGAAAGCATTTCCTTACCTCTCAAATACATTAGTCTGCTGTAAACACTGGCTAAAGTATTTGTTAGCATATCAGACATATTACAAAAACTAACCTGGGCGGAGAACATTCAGTGATGACAGAGCACTTGAAAAAGCCCCACCAGCTTTTGGTTTTTCTTCTTCCTTCTCACTTTCAACTTCCATTTCTTCTTCACCATGCTCACTGTTTGCAGTCCCATCTTCTTGACCTATATCCTTAATCTGTCCTGTCTTTTCTAGTGGTGGTTCGACTGGTAAGATAACAAAGTCCATGTTTTACTCTTTTTATAAAGATCACTCGAAGTACTTTTTTAAGGTCTAACAACCAAAAGTAAAAATCAAATTAAAATGTTAAATGATAATTTTATTGTTTGAAATCTAGTAAAATACGCCTTAATTGTGATTAAGTCACTGACATCCTCTCAAAATTTGACAGACACCCCAACAACCACTAAACATTCTATGTATTGCCAAGTATTAAAAAAGTGAGGGAACACAATAATTAAGATCATATGTGCAACCTTCACACATGCTCTTACGTATTAATTAGAAAGCACAAGAACAGACTCATTTCAAAAGAACCTTTTCATTTTCCTCTTGGGCTGGGTGCAACATTACCCTACATTAGGTGGGGAACATAGAAATACATGCAGCAGGTACAAATATTGTGTAAAAAAATGCACGTTAAGTCCTGATCTAAGCTGCACATATCTGAGTTTTTAGACTTTAGCATTTGTTTAGAGAATCTAGACTACTGACTCAGTAGCAGCCATGAGGTCTTTGCACTATAACCAAACCAACTACAGAGACTGCAAAACAGGCAAGCAGAAAATAAGGACACACTAGCCATGTACAAAATGCAAATTTTTAAGGATCTTTGTGACAGAAACAAGAATTAAGATCCTGGTTTCCACAGATCACCTGAACATTAACCAAAAAAAATGATAATTTCTGGTTTTGCTCATACCCCATACCACTGCACAGGCAACTTAAAGATTCTAATAAGAATTTAGAATCATAGAATCATAGAATCATTATGGTTGGAAGAGACCTCAAAGATCATCAAGTCCAACCGTATACGTGATGCCAATGATGAAGACACAGTTCTAAACTAATTTAATTCCTTCCTAATTCAATAGGAGGAAACTCATCTGACAAGCCGAGCTGAAATACCGAAACTACTGAGGTCTACTGACAACCATATATGTAGCTAAAAAGTTTCATCATTCTACATTCATTCCACCTAAGAGAGAATCAAAGAACTCTACCAGCTTCAGAACAGCGTTTGTCAGGTTCAAATGAACACATTTAATGCATGCTTTACTTCAGTTCTAAATGCTAAACCCTCTAGAAGACCAACAAACCATCTTGAAAACAAGTAATTTGTATTTACAGTGCTAAATCTTTTCCATTACAAAAGTTACTGTTAGTTTTGCAGTTACCATCTGTTGGAGAATTGACCTCTGTTCTAACTTTTGATTTTTCAAGATCTTCCTTGTATTCTTTCTTCAATTGTTTTACAATCTTTTTGCTGTAACTTGATTTCTTCACTTTAAAAACTTCTTCAGTTTCTTTAAAAGAAAAGTTGGAAAACATTACATTAGACCTGCCAAAAAGTATACTTACCTATTAAATCTCTTAATCTTGTACCTAGAATTTAATAAATGCCCCTAACAATGAAATTTAATGTGAATTTACACTGTTGCAACAAAACCAGTCCCACATCCTTTCATGTCTACCTCGTCTTTTTGTGGTCATTTTCACGTGTGTTCATCCCACTCACAGCACAGTCACAGAAAAGCAAAGCAGAAGTTACACAAAAGTGTACACACATGGCCTGCTTTTATCTGACTGTAGCAATTTTTTTAAAAAATAAATAAATAAATAAAAAGAAGCCAAACAAACAAAACCCAGCTGATCCTTCACTGTGACCACAAATCTGGAAGAAAATGACACGAAGCCCCAACATTCTGGGCCAACAGTCTTTTCACAGCCACACATATACACAACTAATAAGAGAATGGTTTTGGTTGTACTACCAGCTGAAATGCCTGCAGCACTACAACCTACCAAAAGGTATGCCGTAAGTTAAAGAACTAAATAGCATAGAAAAAAAAAATAACCAAAGTTTGACGTAGGAAATCCAGAAGTGTTTGATTTTAAGTCTATAGCGTAATTCCATGTTTCCAATATTTCTGTCAAGATTTCAAATCACTAGTCTTAGAATCCAGGTTCCAGTGATTACAAGAGAATTCCTTTTAAGAAAATTCAAAAGACATACTAACTCTCTTGCTGGCAAAAGGTATCACAAAAATAAGCTCCTCATTTTATTCACCCTGTACTTCTGGGATGCAACAAGCTCTGGAGTTTCAGGAGTATTTTTTGATCGTTTTTTGATCATTTATGTATATATGTAATAACTATTATCTGTAATCAGATTATCTGAGTGTGAATGGACCAATCCACGAATGCAGTACCTGCTGGAATCCAGCTGAATTATTAGCTGAAGCATTGCACAAATACAACTACGCTATTTTTCAAAAAGCTGAGATCTAGAAACTGCTCAACCACTTTTTCTGCTATTTGTGAATGTTAATCTAAAAAACTCTGTGGACGGCTAGATGAACTAATTCTGCAAGAAAACACCAGTGGCTTCACAAGGAGTTTGCTAGGACAACAGGCAGTCTGACGTGACCTGTGAACACCAGTCACATCAGACGAAAACAAACTCGACACAAAGCTGCAGGAAATATGCCCCTCAACCAGCACTGCTGGTTTTGGGGGGGGCTGCACAGGCACCAGGCCTAGTACCTACTACCGCACAAACCCAGGTCAGGCTTGATCAGCAAACCACCCAGCTGCAGTGAGCACAACGCGGGTACAACAGCCAGGCACCAGCAATACAGAAGCAGACACAACCTGCCCCGCTAAACCGGAATTAAACCCGCGGGACATCACCTCGCTGCTCCCCGGTGCTGGGAGCACGCTGGCCCCGCAGGGGCCGGGCGGG